TGAGCTATAGGCGCCGAGCCGAAAAATCATTTTTTATGTTTTAATTTAATTTAGAAACTTGTTAGCTTGAATTACAGATTTACCAAAAATTGCAATAAGTGTGCAAATAATTTTTATTTACCTTTCATTCACATTCCCTACATTTTCGAATTTTACAGTTTTTTATCATTGTTTATGTATCTCTTTTTTTTGAAATGTTTGAGAATAAGTTTATAGACATGATATGTATCTTTACTATTATGTACTTCAGTATGTATTTCTTTAAAATGAAGACGTCTATCAAAGTCATGAAATTAATGACAAAAACACTGACTGTCTCATCTGTAGGCATTTAAACTTTGTCATTTTCCCTTATAGTCAGAGATCTGATACCAGAATCATGTTACACTTAATTGTCCTCTTCTGTCATCTTCAGTCTGGAATAGTTTCTTGGTCTGTCTTTGTCTTTCATGGCCATCAAAAGTTTAAGAGTACAGATCATGTTTTTATAAGAGAATGCCCCTCAATGTTGGCTCATCTAATTTTTCAGGATCGTATTTCTTCTAGCTGTGATGCTATCAGGAGACATAATGTTTACTTGTTCCATTACTGATGACCATATTAACTGTGATCACTTTTTTAAAGTAACGGTGATTCACATTGTTAAAGAACACAGTGTTAATGGTCTCTTAAGTCTTTGTTTTCCCTGGGTGAATTGAGTTCTAGAGTCTTTTCCAAGACTCGGTAGAAATATCTGTTTAACAACATTTTTAAACTTTACCCCCGTTTGGATTGGCTTCTTAAGACTTGCCTTCAGTGGGACTGTGTTATTGTCTCCTATCTGTCTTCCCGTCTCAGTTGTACACACTCCTTACAGGCAGATGTCATGTGTCCTTTGTCCCTCATCCTATCTTCAGTGCTTTGCACAGATCCTACACACAGCAGGTAGTAGATAGTACTTGGTTGTTTGGTCGTGTGGTTGGATAGTGGTTTGAATGGACAAGTGGGTTGTTCATTTGTGAAAATTTGCCTATTTCAGATCTCCTAATATATTAGTTTTAAGTTCAACATACCTTAAAAATCCCCTGTCACCCCCTTGGTAATTTGATATATTTTGGGTGTAGTTCTCTAAAACATGGTTTTCAAAGACTTGTAGGCTTGGCTATCACTTCACATGGTCACCATTTTGCTGATTCACCTGGTCATGTAGATTACACATTTTCTTCTTTCAAACTTGTTATTTATAAAGGGCCTGAAAAGTGACATCAGCAGAATTGCTCAGACTATAATAATAATGATTCTTATCATACCTCTTATTATTTTTCTTTTATGTGATAACACTTCAAAATTTTAGAGTAAAGTCTTTATTTCCATGTTGCTGTTTGTGGCATGGAGGCTTAGAGAGATCATATACCCACTATTACAAAGCTACCAATGTGTGAACTGGATCTGGATCTCTAAGTTTTCTGACTCCTAATTCAATATTCCCTCTACCATAGGGTCTTCCATATCATTGGATTCTATGATACTGTGGAGAAAAAGTATCCTGCATCACTTTGTTTTACCAAGGCAGACTTTATGTGGTTCTCTAAAGATAACCTCATATTTTATGACCCTTCTCCCTGTGAATATCTTTTTCTTTCCTTTTAAAGCCTTATTTGTTTTTTCTCTTTAGGAGACAGAGTCTCACTCTGTTGCCCAGGCTAGAGTGCCATGGCATCAACCTAGCTCATAGCAACCCCAGACTCTTGTGCTCAGGTGATCCTCTTGTCTCATCCTGCCAAGTAGCTGGGATTACAGGCACCTACCACAATGCCAGGCTAATTTTTTCTGTTTTAATAGAGCTCAGGTCTTACTCTTGCTCAGGCTGGTCTGGAATTCCTGAGCTCAGAATCCTCCTGCTTCAGTCTCCCAGAGTGCTAGAATTATAGGCTTGAGCCCCCACTCTTGGCCCCTAAAGACTTCTTTTTAAAAACAGTTTTAAGTTCATAGCAAAATTGAGCAGAAAGTACAAAGAGTATATACTCCCTGTCCTCCCGACCACCTCCACTATCAATGTCCTATACCAGAGTGGTACACTTGGTACAGATAATGAACCTACATTGACACATGATCATCACCCAAAGTCCAGCGTTTCCATTTAGGGTTCACTGTTGGTGTAATGCATTCTATGGGCTTTGAGAAATGTATGTATATACCATTATAGTACCATGCAGTGTATTTTCACAGCCCTAAAAATGCTCTATGCTTTGTCTGATCTTCCCTCCCTCCCTCACAACCCCTGGCCATCACTAATCTTTTTACTGTCTTTGTAGTTTTGCCTTTTCTAGAATGTCATATGGTTGGAATAACAGACTATATAGCCTATTGCAGGTTGGCTTTTTGCTTTTTTCACTTAGAAATGTACATTTAGGTTCTTCCATGCTTTTTTTTGTTTGTTTTGAGACGGGGTCTTGATCTGTTGCCTGGGCTGCAGTGCAGTGGCATCGTCATAGCTCACAGCAGCCTCACACTTCTGGGATGAAATGATCTTCTTGCCTCAGCCTCCGAAGTAGCTGGTACTAGAGGCATGCACCACCATGCCTGGCTAATTTTTTCTATTTCTAGTAGAGATGAGGTCTCACTCTTGCTCAGACTAAGTAGTTCAGCCTAATCTTGAACATCTGGCTTCAAGTGATCCTCCTGCCTCTGCCTCCCAAAGTGCTGAGATTATAAGTGTGAACCACCATTCCTGGCCCCTTCATGTCTTTTTATCACTTGATAGCACATTTCTTTCCAGCGCTTAATAATATGTCACTTGTCTGGATGTATCATGGCACAGTTTATCCGTTCACCTACTGAAGGTCATCTTGGTTGCTTCCAAGTTTGGGCAATTATGAATAAAGCTGCTTTAAACATATGTGTGCAAGTTTTTATATGGACATGAGTTTTCACCTCCTTTGGGTAAATTCCCCCCCTCCTTTGGGTAAATTCTAAGGAGTGTAATTGCTAGATTGTGTGGTAAGAGTATGACTAGTTTTGTAAGAAACCGCCAAACTGTCTTCCAGAGCGGCTGTGCCATTTTGCATTCCCACTAGCAATGGCTGAGAGCTCCTGCTGCTTCCCTTCCTCACCAGCGCTTGGTTTCACCAGGGTTGTGGATTTTCTCCATTCCTATGGGTCCGTGTGGTATCTCGTGGTTGTGATTTCTGCATCTCCCTAAGGCAGTATGATGTTGAGCATCTCTTTATATGCTTATTTGACATCTCTATCTTTTTTGCTGAAGTTCAGATCTTTTTTTTATTCAGATTTTTCATTTTCCTTTTTTGTATCTTTTTTATATTCTCTTTTATCAGTTCCTTTTTTTCTTTGGCACCATCTAGCAAAGATACATACACAGAAAACTTTGAGGATATGAAGGATAAATTATTTTTTCAAAGGAAAACGCCTCTCTTTCTGTTTCTCTCCTTTTACCTTTGTCTTTCAGTTATACCTGCCGCCACTTGCGGAGATATGTTTATGTGTTGGACAAACTGTATTTCCCCCACTCTCACTGTTCCACGCTTCAGCATTGCTTCTCGGCCCTCAGTGACAATGGAGAGGAGCTGTTGTCTTTAACTTGCTCTCACATTCTCAGATCCTATGCTTCCAGGTTATTAACCTCTGCTGCTCGTTTACTGCATGCTGCATGTTGTATATGACTGATGGTTGCATGTTTTAATGGGACACGTATCAATTAAACGATTAAAGTAAAAACTTATGTTTGAAGCCATACTACATAATTTTTCAAATAATAGCTGACCTTTCACATGTCATCTTAAGTACTTTATGTTTCTACGTTTCGTAGGAGAGAGGAAAACTTTAACCACACAATTGTGTAAACTTGCCAGAACATTCCTATACCTTGTTCCATTCAGCAACATTTTGATTTAATTTATAGTAGCGGGAATGCTCTGACTTGTATCTGAAATAGACTGTCCAGTTACGATGAATTACAGATGAACATTGAGTTCTCTTTCGTGCCTCCCAAGCACACCTGAGAGTTAGCTGTAGGATTTCACCCATGTTCTCCTAGAGGCACATTCAGTTGAGCAAGTTTGATTTTATAGGAAGGCAGAAATTATCCTATTGAGTTTTGTTTTTCTTACTCATTATATTTACATACAGAGCAGTTATAAAATCAGCAATTTTCGATGTGTCATGGATGAATGTGGATTAAACATAATGATGGTGGGAGTAGTAAGAAAGAGATGAGCTATCATTCTCAAATATCAGAGAAACCAACACCTGCTGTTGCGTGTGTCTGCACGTATCATGCACCGAAATAGAGGGGCAGTGTGACATTCCTGCTTTGTACTTTGCAGTTGACATTTCTAACGCACATTTCTTATAAGTCAGAGATGACTTACGCCAGCACTATATTGTTAGCTAGATATGATCATTTAACGCAGTATCTTTACTGCCAGATGATTTAGATCCAGAAGGAAAAAACTTCCATGACAACCTTAAGGAGAAAATAGAAAACAGTTAGAATTAAAATGGACCTTTTCAGATGAAGACACGCACAAAAGACCATATCTCACATCTAAGTGAAAACATTTTGATTATTAGGAAAGGAAGGTGGTATGGCATATAAGTTGACCGAGATTTTCTTGGTAGGAGGAAGATTTTACAGACTCTTATGATGAAGCTGAAAAGGTTCTTATTGAACCAATACAGGTACTTTTGAGAAATCAAAAATCAGGTATGGATAAGCAAGTGAAAATAATAGAATTTACTCTTAAGTATATGGCATAGAAGGATTTATCTTTCCACTGACTTATGTAAAGTGAGTGAATGTCAGGTAAGTGAATGAGACAAAGCTTATCTGGTTGCCAGGAATGGGGAGAACTGCTACTGATCATTGAACCTCTTAAGTGGGTGGCAAAATTGACCTTACCCTTATTTACTAGTCTGTCAGTCAAGGCTCCCCACAAAACCAAGAGGAGAGTTTGTGTGTATATGTGGGTGTATATATACATATATGTATGTGTGTGTGTGTGTGTGTGTGTATATATATATAGAGAGAGAGAGAGAGAGACAGAGAGACAGAGATGTTTAGAGAACCTCTTCAGTGATTGCAGGGGCCAGATCTGGAGGCCAGATCAACAGGCTGGAAGTCAGTGTTGATGTTGCAATCCTAAATCCACATGGCAGGCCACCAGGATAGAAACTCAGGCAGGATTTTTATGTCACAGTTTTAAGACAGAATTCCTTATTCCTTAGGAAACCCCAGTCTTTGTATGACCTTCAAATGATTGGCTGAGTCCCACTTACATTGTAGAGGGTAATCTGGTCTCCTTAAAGTCACCTAAGCGTGAATGTTAATCACATCTGTAAATACTTTCACAGCAACAACTAGACTAGTGTTGGACTAAACAACTGGGCATCATGTAGCCTAGTCAAGTTTTCATATAAAAATAGCAATCACACTATTTTGCTCCTCTTTATTCTTTTCATGTATCTTATCTGTCTGTACATTTTCTTTTGTGTGAATAGTTTCTGTACTGTGGTTTTGTGGAGACTATAAGCTTCCTGGGGGTAAATATCATACCTTATCTTACAGCCTCTCATGCCTGGCACGTTTTTGAGGTACTAAGTGTCCAAAGGGTATTTTCTTAATACAGACCCTCCTGAGGACTGAACATCCTCCTCTAATGAAACGTCAGGCCCTGGGCAGCCTACATAGGTAGTTGAGGACACCTTGCAGGGTGAGGAAACTCTATAGCATTTTTAGTGCATTTTGACACCAGACTATTTTCCAATAGTCTTTCTATCTTTGTTCCCTTCATTTTAGGGCTGTTGTCTGTGGGCCTCCATCTCTGCTAGGCCCTGCCTGTTTTTTCTGAATAACAGAAAAGAAACACAATATTACTACAGTGTGGCACTTAAGGACACAGTCTTCCACTGGCTTTCACTTCTAGGCCCAACATGTGGGGTCTGGGACCGTGCACAGGACACTGTTCTGTTTAGGACACACCTCAGAATGGGGTGTCATTTGTATAGAAAGAAGTATCTCATGTCGTGTTAATTTGCAAGTGACTAACATTCTGTGTACACAGCGACCCTTGATCAAATATAGTCTCTAGTTGAGAGAGATTCTTTCAATAAAACTGCATTGCATAGGAAAACAAACCAAGCCAAATATTTGAATGGAGTAATCATAGACTCACTTCAGGAAATCACATAACATTTGGTTATGCAAAATGTTTAAAATGTAAGTTACTTCCTAGAGACAAATATAAGCTTATTCCTTAAAAAAGGACTTACCAAAAAAAAAAAAAAAAAAAAAGGACTTACCTTAGGCTAACATGAATTGCTGCTATGGACAGAAATTTCATTTATTCTGCTGCAAACTTCTTCCCAGTGTAAGAATTATTTGTAAAGCATTCCCCAAGAGATAGCTTCTGAGTGCTTCTTAATCTCAGGAGGTGATAAAGTTCTTGGTGTTTGAAAGATCTTCATATGTTAAATCTGCCTACCAATAATTTTTATATATTGATTATAGCTCTGTGCTAGAGAGAAATACACAAATGTGTAAACCGTGCTGCTTGTGAGAGCCCTTCAGATTTTTAAAAACACCTGTCATCGATGCTCCTTAATTTTTTTTTCTCTTTAGCTTAAATACTTCGGTTACTTCAACCACTCTTGACAACAGATGATTTTTACATTATTATTATTTGCTTCCTGGATGATCTATATTTGACAGTCCCCAGCATAAAATTTGGAATCCAAGATTGAGTAGTAATAGTTCAGTTACAGTTTGTAATTAATACATTATAAATTACTTTATAGGTATACTCTTAATGTATCATAATAGTGCACTGATTTTTGAAAACAGGCATACCTTGGATTATATGGAATTCCAAGATCTTTTGCTCACAAACACAGATCTTCCTAGACTTGTACGTGTAATTATGGGAACATAATTGCAGGGCTTTACAATTTGTTCTTACTTAAATATAACATATTAACTTTTCTCCTATTTTTAGACTGCACGAAACTATAAACTTTGCAAACCTGGTACTTCCTCTGTTTCACTCCCCCGGAAGTATTGTGGTCACCTCTCAGTTATCAGCCTTACCTGCAGCTTCTATAGAAATCAAATTTACAATTTTGAATAAGCCCTTGAGAATTTTTTAATTTTCTGCTGGTAACTATATGAAGACTTATGCTCTGACTGCTTGGATTTTTATGTCCAATTTTAAGTTCTACTTAGGTTTCAGGGTGAAATGTGAATAAGTTTGATGAGAAAATTGTGAAGTAAGAAAATACCTAATTTATTTTTAATTGACTATATGTTTCACTTACATATTTTGCTGATATCAAAAATATAGCTTGTAATATAATTTAATTAGAACCTAAGGTGGAGAGAAAAAGAGAAAGTTTAGTTTCAAGATAATTCTTTTGTAGTAGCACAATTTATTATGTTACTATAACTGAGGGCTTCAGATTGTACCTGCCTAATGCTAGAAAGCCGAGAGAGAGCATCATCAATGTTTAAAAATTATTTCCTAGCACACAGCCAGTTAAAAACATTATGTTCTGTTCTTGTAAAATTAAGCATGTTAACACCAAAGCCCTTGGCTAGTTAATACTTTGGTTCCTAACCTTTTGAAGGTAAATTATGGACCCTTTCTCCAAGAGACAGAAATAGAAATTTTTGCCTCTATTTTGGAGATCACACAATCTAAAATATTAGATATAGCTGTTGTACAAGCCTCCCTCATCCCACTCTAAATAATAGTGGCTTAAAGAAGTTTTTCAGGTAAACACATGAACCAGTGTGGCAGCTCTGCCCTGTAGAATTTTTAAGATCCAGAGTCCTCTCTATGCTCCACCTCCAGTGTCTTGCTCTCATTCAAAAAAGCTGGAGTGTCTCACAAGTTCTGCATTCTGGACAGCAGGAGAGTGGAAGAGACTGGAGTCAGATGTAAATTTCCATTTTAAGGGAATCACACATCCCTCTGGCCAAAAGTTAGTCATAGGACTATTCAACCTTCTTGGGAAGCTAGAAATAAGAGTTTTTAGCTGAGTGGCCCTGTTGTCTGCTAAAAGTTCTCTTATTAGGTAAGAAGAGACAAGTATGGGGACAACTAACGGTCTCTGCCACACCATTGAGAGTTCCTTCTCCTAGGTAATAAAATGTGTACACAGTGATTTTTTTTTCTTTTATTGTTGGGGATTCATTGAGGGTACAAGAAAGCAGGTTACACTGATTGCATTTGTTAGGTAAAGACCCTCTTACAATCATGTCTTGCCCCCAAAAGGTGTGGCACACACCAAGACACAGTGATTGTTATATGATTAGTGTTGTGCTAGGCAGCAAGAGGGGTTCATGGTGAACTCAGCAAGGTAAGTCAAAATCACTGGGACAAGTCACTGCCTTACACTGTTAGTTAAATATAAAATTAGTAATGTAGAAATAAGTAATATAGAAAGAGAAATCTCTTCTGACAAAGAGATCTGAAGTGTCCTCAAACAAGTAGGATTTGAGCAAGAAATATTCGATTAGCACGGCATCTATGGAAAACATAGTGGAGAAGGGCACATGTAGGGGAGCTCATGATGTGTTCCAGGGCAATGCATGGGGTCTTTGGGCAAAAGCAGATT